AGACGCCAATGTTGCAACCCGGAGAATCTTCCCAACTCAAGGAATTCAGTTCTTCTGCCTTTCTTGAAACACATAATGAATTAACACTATACTATTTTTTAATCTAAATTTCAATTCTATACTCAGAAATTTTTTTTTCACTGATTTACAGAAATAAATTAAATAACAGATGTCAGTTATTTTTTAATGATAATTTCACGAAAGATCTCCTATAATCCATTGATAAAGAATATCAACATTCGATATGTTATGATGTAGCCACTCATTAAATCGAAAACAAGATCATTTTATATCGCTCTCTCAAGGAAACACATATTTAAATTTTCTTATTAATTTTTTATAATTAATAAATTACAAAATTCCAACGGCCCCTATTTTGCGATTTGGCCGTTTTTTTGATGTACAAAAAATTTCCAAATGAATTAAATATTTTATTAATAAAAGGAAAATCAATTTTATATTTTGTGCTTAGGATAATTCGATTGAGTCGATCTTTTTTTTTTTTTTTCTTCAAATATTTATAGATGAGCAATGCCCTTCTACCCATGGCGGTACGTCTCTAGAAGTTGGTGCTCCTACTGCCGAAAGAATGAATGCAGAAGTGATATGTGCTACTGTTCCGATAGTTCAACCTGTACCAATCGTACAGCCTCCAGTACTGAAAGATTGTGAAGGAGTCGCGCAACCTTTTTGTCCCACTAGATGTGACGAAATGATAAAACCTGTCAAGGGTGTCAAATGGGAAGATGACGAAAGAACCTGTGAATGCCCACAACGATTTCGGGAACTGAAATTCCCTCCTAAATGTAAGTTGGTTGCTATATTTAGATAATCAACTAATTAGGTATTAGTAGCAGAATTAGGCTCAGTACAAAATATGCTAGACCAGCTTTAGTCGATTCTATTTAAGAAAATGAGCCAATTTTTCTTCTACCTGTTTCTCTCTCCTTTTCCACTCTGAAGAAGGGTGAAACAGGTAGAAGATTGATAAGAATTCAGATTATGGATGGTTATCATTTCTGAGTGTCAACATCTCCTCAAACAGTGACAGGGAGAAATGTCTTTAGTAAGACCTCAAAGATAACTGCTTCCATACCTTTGTGTCGAATTAAAGTAAGCAAACTCTAAATAGGCAATTCAATTATCCATGTGAGATCTCTCACAATTCCCCTTGTGCTTACTTTAAAGAAATAATTTAAATATTAATCCATTAAATAATTCTGGTAAGGAAAATGCTCATTCATATTTCAGCATTTTTATATATGTTGATTTGGGTCCTAAATGGCAGAGAAAGCACTAGAGTGGCTAGTGCTCTGGCCCCTCGGTACCACAGGGTTCGAGTCCCGGCGGTGATATGGATGTTTTTAGTGGTTCGGAATCCCCTTTAAACTGTAGGTTCCCGTCTAGCATGACGTAGAGCGTTGCGGGGGTATTGTTACTCCGCGTCCGTAGCTTATCTTCAAGCTACCCGCACCTCCTGGGTAGTGCTAAGTGAGTAATGTCGGTGCAGTGCTTGCTTTAAGGCATCAAAAACAATTGTCTAAGTGTTTACCAGCTGCATTAGAATAAAAAATATTTATATACTAAGATAATTAGACATAAGTAGCCGTGTTAAGTTCGGTACAAAATATGCTATACACTAGCTTTAGTAGACTTTTTTTGAAAAAGAACATCCCTTGAAACGCAATGACAGGGAGAAATGTCTTTAGTGAGAACTGAAAGCTAAATGCTTCAGTTGCTTTATGTCAGATTTAAGTAATAAAACTCCAAATAGGCAATTCAATTGTCGATGTGAGATCTGTCACAATCACGAGTGTAAAGAAATAGTTACTTTAAATGAATAATTTAATTATAATTGCATTAAATATTTCTGGTAATGAAAATGTTCATTCATCTTTCAGCATTGATATATATTTCAGTCGTTTATTCAGATCTAATGCCTTTAAAAAAAAACGCTGGAGGAAAAAAAAATCATTGAATATATTTTCTACTTGAATAAAACAGGCTTTTGAATCTTTGTAATATATATATATATATATATATATATTGAAAAAAGATATCAAAATATATTTTTAAAATGGTTCTGCAGAATTCTAATAGCTATATTAATAACTAGTATAATAAGAGGAGACCATTAATAATAAGTAATAAAAAGACAAGATCATGAATTTGTCTTTCATATTAATTTGTAAAGATAATATTGATTAGTAAACATAAAAAAGAAAAAGAAAATTAGTAAAAGAGAAGCATTTTCTTAGAATGCATTGAATGAAGTATTATACTTTGTTCACCATTTCTAATTATTTGCTTGAATTTTCTATCGTAAACAACAACAACACAAACGACATTGCATAATACTAGCATTTCTTCGCGTTTAGTCCATAATATTGGGGATATAACTTCAATGGGTCAACATTGTTCCTTTCTATCTGGGCAATTTAGAGAACAATACTAGGGCAAAGTTTTTGTAAATTAAGGATTTATCCTACAACAAACGCCCTAAAATTTTATGGAGGATTTCCTCAAATGTTCCTTACCTTCTACACAGGCGGGAATTTTCGATAAAGCTTGTCGAAGTTCAAATTTATGTTTCTCGGTTTAGATTGGTTTGTCCATCTACGGTCATTTTGGTGCACAATTTAGGCTTATTAGACCGGGAACTACAGTTTAACGTGGATTCCGAATAGCTTTCGATTCATGCCACTACCAGAATTCGAACCTGAAGCTTGTGGTACCAAAAGACAGAGCTGTAGCCAATTGGTCATCAAGCCGCCTCTCACTCTAGAAACAATATGATCCACCATAAATCCATTAAATGCGACCATTTATTGCTTAAATGAAAACATTTTTATTGATAACTAAGACAAGTTGTTTATATTTTTTTTTGGATAAAAATACCTCATCGGTGATTTGAATAAATTGGATAAGAATGGTAAATTTACTAGTGTTTGCAGATAATCAATAATTTCCTATCTAATATAATTTTTGTTTCTTATTTAAAAGAGCACTTAGCTATTAAATCGCTTTAAAATATTCAAAATGCATTAAATTCTATTACCAGTGTAGCATGATGTATTTGAAGTTCCATTTAAGCTGATTAGAAAATTAATTCTTAAAGTAATTTCAATTAGTAAAAGCCTTCTGTTATACTGCAGTGATACAATTGAATAAAAAATAAAAACGATTAGCACATTTTTTTCTTGTTTAATTATTAGAATCTTCAAAGAATTATTTTGTTTGGCTACCAAAAATCTTAAAAAAACGACCTTTCAAGCTTTCAGATAAGACTCTTTAAAGATTTGTCAATTTTAAACTCAACTTCTCAGAAATAAACTTCTTGTAAATTAAGATTTTAAGAAATAATTTATTGAAATTAATGCAATTTCAGAATCATAATCATCCATGTATCATGGCTTTGTTCACAAAACTTTTCCATATTTTCATATCCTTAGAGTTTCTTTTGCATTACCTCCAAATTTTCCGTCATTTCTTCCATCTATCTCTTTTCAGGTCTTCCAAATTTACTCTTACCCCTAACTGTCACACTGGGTCTGAATGGCCGAGTGGCTAGCGCTCTGGCGTTCGGTACCACAGGTTTCGGGTTCGAGTCCCGTCGGTACCATGGATGTTTGTAGTAATTCGAAATCCACTCTCATGAGACTCATCAAACGATGCTCTGGTTGATATTGTAGCATTTTCCATGAAAAGAGATATAGCATTTTTGTTCATAGGGAAAAGGAATGTATATTCTTTAACAAATGCATAATAAACAACCTGTCACTCAAATCTGACAGCAGATTTGCGTCATAGATAATGAGATATCATGAAATTAGCTATTATCTGGAAAAGCTTCACAGGTCGAAACAATTATAAATGGAATTTTAATTACGCCATGAGTTGTTGCTTCGTGATTATTATAGACCATGGGCTATGGAAGTGTCCAATCCAATAAGAAATGAGAGAAACTGACCGCCCCTTCCCCCTTAACGGATTTTCTTCCTTGGGTTTTGGAGGAGAAGTGTGTTCTGCGATGAATCGATAAAAGAAGTGTTGTTTTCTCTTTTTCTGAAAGTGATTGAACTTGCAGCAAACATTTTTGACACCATCTTTCTGTTAACCATCATGAAGTTATATGAGGATCACTGAACACATTAAGTGATCTCAAGTGACCTGTGATTGCTTGTTTTCGCTATTTTCATGCGAATCTCCTCGTATTTAACCGTTTCATAAGAATCTTCTTCAATTTCATCTGGCTCATCTGCGACAAAATTATGTTCTTACTTTATTTTACACGATAATGTATTTTATAATTTTAATATCTTCTTTCTAAACAAGTAAGTCGTAGTACAGTTTTACTAAATTCAATGAAAAAAATTAATACCTAGATATTCAAAACTATATAAAACATATAACATTTATAGATTTTCAAATTGCTTTTTTTCATATACTAAATGTCTTAGAAGCATTTATTGTTTACAATAAAATAAAGATTTGCCCTTCCAAAATAATGCATAAAAAAAATTTTTTTTTTAATGCATAAAAAATTGTTTAATTTAAATTAATTAGTAGTTTTTTTGTAATTTACTTTAGTTTTTATTGTTCCGTTGCAATAATTTTTGTTGTTTCATAATAATGCATAATCATACCCAGTGTTAAACAAAAGTAAAAAGAAAGCGACAAACCTGTCAATTTTGAAACAAATTTGGTGAGGGGTTTTTGGCTGTAATATTATCGTATAAATGTAATGTAATATCATACGTTATTATTTTTATTTTTAAAGCATATTTTACTTAAATTATCAAGAAGTTGTCCATATAAAAAACGTTTGACTGGTAAATATGATCAACGTATGACTGGTCTTAGATTCATATTTGGTGTTATGTTTAAATACTGCATTGATTTTAAATTCGAAGGTAAAATACTGATTACAAGATACATAATAGTCGTCGTGGTTAATAGACAACCGAATTCATATTGCTAATATACATAATTATTAGGCCAACGGCCATACCATGCTGAATATACCGTTTCTCGTTAGATCACCGTATACTAGCAATATGAAGTCAAGCATCATTGGGCGCTTGTAATCAGTACTTGGGTGGTGACCACCTGGGAACACCAATCGCGTGCCGTTGGCATTCACAAATTTGGGACCTGAATGGCCGAGTGTCTAGCGCTCTGGCGCCAGAGGTTTTCGGGTTCGACTTCCGGCGGTGCCATGGATGTTTGTAGTGGTTCGAATCCAATTTAAGCCGTAGGTCCCGATCTCCTAAAAAGCAGAGCGTCACGTAGCCAAAGTCATTACTTTACCTACGGGGTGCTCCATCACAACAGAAGCTGCTTCCTTCCCTTTCAATCATGAGTACGTATGGGCTGTTTCTTTTTTACCAGCCAAGTTTAAGAAACAACAACAATATAATTATTTGAAAAAAAAAGTAATTTTGGGAACATAAATACGGAAAAGTTTTATTTTTTCAAAATGAATAAAAAAACAAATTTTTAGTGATTGAAAAATGATAATGATTCATACAAAGTGATTTCTTTTGAGAATGTTTTCATAATCACAGTGATTTTCTACAAACATTTAGTATATTAAAACTGAACGAATGTTTCTCAATTTTCAAATTGGGGTGATCAGTGAAATATGGTTTTATTTTCTATATTATTTCTTTTAATGATCAGCTCATTTTCGTTTTGCAAACACTAGTAAAACGCCCACGACTTACTAGTAGAAAAGTCGTGTTATTTGATAATATAATACATTTCAATGAGTAGGTAGTCATCTTATTACTATCTCAATAGAACATTTTAACATTGATAGTAATTACTACGTATGAAAGTGATGCCCTTCCTATTACTAAAAGGATGGCTAGATTCGCAGAAAAAGGAATGGAATAGAAGAACACATTTTATCTCTTAGATTAATGTATCAGTTAGTCATCTTACTCTTTTAAAGCCTTGGTTTAAGACAATTTATTACTTGTGTTGAAAATTCTTTTATGAGAAATTAGTGTTGAAATTCTGAAATTACTTTATCTATGACTCAGAGATATGAACTCTGCAGCAAAAACCCAGGAATAAATAAATAGAAAAAGGGGCAAACATCTTGTGGAAAATTTCTGGACCTTCCAAGATGGGTTTGGATAATCCCAAACAATAAAATATATAAGGCAATTAATTTCTTTAAATGCCATCAAGTGTAGAAGAATTCAAAGGAGGGCCATTTGGAAGGAATGGAGGACAATTAAGTGACAGAATAGTAAGATATTTTTTTTGCATCTTGGACAAACGCCGCACAGATTCCTTTTTCCTCGCGCACCTCCTGGGTAGTGATCTGGAGGTGCGGGTATAAAATAAGCTCTTTTCGGATGGAAAAAATCTACGATCATTTTAGACCGGGAAGTCTCTCATTTTAGTCTCATAAGACACATACATATGTAAGTTGGTGGAAGCCATGAGAAATAATGTCTGTGGATGACGTATATCAGTCAATGGACAGCACTGCTCAGGAGTCGTGCTTGACAAAATAACGTCAAATGTCGCAATTTACTGTAGTCTGACGCCTTCATGAAACTGGACTGATCATTCGTCGTCCCAAAAGTTTCTTTTATTGAAGTCATGATGACGTTGTATAGGCTAGTTTAAAATCAGAGAATTTTACATGTTTTGATATTGCAAGCGATTCTGAAAAGAATGTGATATTGTGAGAAGTGGGAAGGATAGGTGTGATCCCAGTAACATCAACCAAACAGACTGTTGTAGCGATCTAGAGCTTCCATTTGAAGTTGCATCCTGATAATCGATCACAATCAGATCCTCATTTTCAATGGCCACATCGATAACTGAAATTGTTGATATAAACAATTGATCTTGTTCCAGTGTACCGTTGATGAAGATTTCTTTGGATGGAGATTAACTTTAGTCCACATCAGATTCATGTATTGGTGGATCTCTGATGTTAACACATTTGAATGGATTTATCGGCATTCACCTCTAAATTAAACCCAATAGAACATGTGTAAGATGTTTTGTGATGATGCTTTTAGGCGCTGTCATATTTACCGGAGAACACGAAAAAAAATTTGATAACTATGTTCTTAAATGAATCAAATATTCATTGAAGAAAAGTCATTTTTATATAAGTAAAGTTAAAATCTTACGTGGAGTGTGAGAAGACAACACTACGCCATTGCTGTTAACCGTCATTTCCTTTAATAAGAACATCACTCTGTTATTCTCTTTCTTGGGCAGACAATCATTTGCCCCACCTTTTAAAATAGCTCTTTTTTTCTACTTAATTCTATATTGAATGAGTCATGATCCTTTTTGCTTCAGGGCATTTCTTTATTAAGTGCGAAACCAAAGTTTGTATTGTGCTTAAGTATTCTGTCTCCTACTCAATTTATTTGGGCAGTTATGGCAGAAATACTAGTACGCGGAGCATTCAAATGTAGTTAAAAAGATTGGTTTTAGTTAAAAGAATGTAAGCAACTTTCTTTAGATGGAAAATGCATTAATTTGATGCCAGGAAATGAACAAAAATTAAAAATTTTGTACAAAAAGAAACCGCTCGTTTGGTAGAAGCAAAATAGTTTCTCACGTAAGAAAAATTTCATTTTGATTGCCTTCTCACAAGTCTGGAAGAAATTCTCTCGAAAAGGAAAATATATCCTTCCTTGTATTTTGTGAATTCGGGGTAATCGAAAAATAACTCCGACTAGGATTGGTCTTGTGTCTCTTTCCAAAAAGGTTTTCAATTCGACAAATGAAGACCAATGGTTTGCTCACGGCGCGATATAATTGAAGTTTTCGATATCAAACCGTACAGCATGGGAACAGATGGATGCTGATCCATTCACTCTTGGATGTGAGTATCATTAGAAGATTCAAAAATTTATTGCAGAAATATTTCTACCAAACCACAAATTTAAAATGTGGCTTAAGAAGAGTTTGATTTTTATTTTGGACATTACATTTCTTTAACATTTTCTAATTGAATATCTCAGATTATAAACTGAAGTAGTTTGGCCTTGTTAATTAAACAATCTCACGGGCTCTTAGCATTTCGGAACAGTATGAAGTTTTCATATAGATCCATTGATATTAAAATTCATATAGATATTATACACTGGCAAGAAAATTAAAGGTACAACTATGAAAACTCATCTAACCTGAATAAAGAAGCAGATAAGAACACGAAACTTGCACAAGATCTTTATTTTGTCATGCCTGAAAGATATTAAAAATGAAGAACTGCCTATTTCTGCAAAAAAATAATTTTAAATAAAAACATAAGAATATAGGATATGAGGAGAAGGAAGAAATGTTACTGCTACATATAGGGCATATATGGTGCCACTGCTTTTGCGAAATTCTTTCGCACTCTAGATAATCATTCACTAGTGAAGCACTATGAGGACGCGCATTATCATGCATTAGTAGGAAGTTATTACCGATTTCACTCCGAAACAGCTTGACATGAGGATCAAGACCCTCATCTGTGTATATTTCTGAATTCACAGTTGCACTGGTAAAAATGTGGTAGTCCCGGCGTTCAGAATGATGTCCGCCTATATCATGATTCCACGATCGTTGTATCGATGCCTTTCACGGATGTTTGCAGACTCTTGCATGCGCTGTTCTCCCTCCATGCTGTAACACATGTGAAATTAACTCTCCAAACAAAATGGGGATTCATCGGTAAAGAGAATTCGGCTCAATCACGATTATCTCTGCAACACTGTAACCAGGCACATTTCGCTGCCGGGTTAGTAGAATAAATCCTGGGTTTTCTTGCAAACAACCTTCTTTTATACAGCTTGTTATTCACAGTAAATTTGGATAGTCGAATTTTTGTGTTGCTGCAGTGAATTCCCTTTCAATCTGAACTGATATTAGTTGCCAGTTTCTTTTAGCAATCGTTGCCAAATAACGGCCCTGAAAGTCTCTTGTGGCATGATTTCGACCTTGACCTGGTTATCGGTGCACATTACCAGTGTCTTTAAATCGTTTCCAGATTCCTGACGCGACAGGTTTGGCTATTTTTAAATTCCTGTCAGTGTCTGCCCTGCTATCATTCTCCCTATCGCAAAGCCATTTCTCACATTCCGTGAAATGTATTCTGGTCGATTTATTCTACCTATAAGCGAAAGTTTCACCCAACTGCTCGTACAATCGTTTTAATCTGAAAAGCAGTGTGATATACACTGCTTTTCAGACGTGGGCGAAACAATCGGCTCAAAAATGTGCATATTGTTTTGGGTAGTGAAGAGAATCCCATTAGACTACGTGATAGCCTTTGACATTGAGTTTCCCACCAATCGCCTTTCATTGTAGTTCACTTAATAAAATTAATATAAAGTACTCTTTTTTTTAGTTGTTACTTTAATTTTTTTCTCATCAGTGTAGTTTTGCAGTGTAGAGATACGTATGTACAAAATATATGAAACATATTTTATTATTATGCAAAATAATTATATTTTATCATTATATTTATGCAACACATTTATAAATATATTCAACACATTTTAATGAGCCTTTAAAATTTAGAACACTTTTTAAAATTTAAGTAAAATATAATATAAAAAAATGTGGACATATTTTTATTTTGGGTCCTTTTTCATTAGCCTAAATTTGATAATGGAAAATATTTTAAAATAGTGCATGCTTAAAATTTTATTCTAAAAGCCCGCGTTAAAAAATAAAATTTTACAGTCGTGAGTTATTAATGATATTTTTAATGAATTGGGATTCTTAATTAAAAAACAACAGTATTTTACAGAATAATGTTTAAAAGCTTTTGAAATGCATTTGAAAACAGAAATAAATTTATCATAATCTTTGAATACATTCCTAATAAAATTTTGCAATAAAAGTGTTTAAAATGTTTCATAAAAGTATGTAAAGCTGTGTTTCTTTTATACAAGAAATGCAAATGATTTCCAGACTATTGCAGAAAAATGCATCTTACGCGTAATCTTTTAATGACTCAATTTGTCAAAAATAATCTTGGAGGATTAACTTTTATCTTAATTTTTCGTATGCTTTTCTCTGCTTAATTATTTTAAAAAATATTAAATTTAAATTACGTTATAAGTTTGTCATTTCCATGTTGATATGAT